GAAGCCACGCCCCAAAGAGAGTCTTTTGTGGAAGGTTAGCGAGATGGTCGGGATTACTTTGATAGAACATCAACTCAGTTTGAGCTGTAGTTTGAGAACCTTTGTTCTTCAAAACTTTGACACAAAACATGGTATTAAGTAGGGCTATCCTCTCAGACAGGGAGGGCAGTCCAAGCTCTTTCCTCATGTTTACAATTCTGGTTGATTTTGGGCAACCTAGAATGATGAGCATGGCTTCATTTTGCACTACCTCAAGGCTGTTGAGTTGTTTAGGCGGAATAGTCACAAGATGGAGAGCATGATAGTCAACTACATAACGAATGAAGTGAAGATAGAAAGTACGAGCATATGTGATGTTAATTCCATAGCCCTTGCCAACAAGGGTTCTGAGGGGTTTAATGCGCTGCATTAGTTTGTCACGAAGGTTGCTGACAAAGTTTGCATCATTCACACAAATTCCAAGATATTTATAGGAGCTACATAGTTCCAAGGGCATGCTGTTAATGTTATAGTCAAGAGGCAGAGGGTGAGCAGGACGAGGATTGAGGACATTTATTCATATTTTACCACAAAACATGTCTTAAGTTTGCCCTTATGTTGCTTTCGCTATTTTTATATATTTAATAATTCTTTGTGTTGGCAGAAGAAGCTTTGAAATGATGGTAAATTGTGTCTGTTGTCTTAGTTACTTCTGGTGGGAAAAACTCAGCAGTGGAAGTCTCAAACAGGAGAAACACAATATTGCAGAAACATTGGAATGAAATTAAAACAAATAATAATAATAATAATAATAATAACCCTACTACTGGTACTGCTATTACTACTATTACTACTAATAATAATAATTAGATCTTTATAGTTAACTTTTCGATACATCAGGTCGTAACTTTACATACCAAGTAACTGAGAACAAAACTGTGCATCAGAGGGATAAAAACGACAGTTTGGACACTAAAACACACACCAACAAGGTACTCAGGGTAACTAATTCTGGTTAATACGAGTGTCGGAGTCCCACAGCGTGTGTCGACCACCAGCACCAGGTGTTGTACGGATCACGGTGTGTTACGGTGGTGAGGGCGAGACAGAGTGTGGTCCCAGAGTCTCGCATTACCACTCTATATATTGTATTATATTGCCTCCATTAGTCTTCCTGAGTTGTTGTGTCCGCTAGTCTCATTTGTGCCGAAAATGTATACTGTTTCCGCCTCTACGTGTAACACCTTCAGGTATGTCTTTAATTATCGATACCTGAGGCTTTCTCAGGTATGTTTACGTTAAGGAGTGAAGTAAGTTTCTCCAAGACGGGCGGCGGTGTTGTGGATAATATGCCTGATAGACGCCCAAGTGTAATTCCTTCCGGTTAATCCTTAATTAACGATACCTGGGGGTTTTCTCAGGTAAGGTATTGAGGTGACTTATTTCACGGCGAGTGGTGGAGTGGACAATAGTGGCTACTACTCCCGCTCGTGGTCGTCAAGACAAAAGACTCGGTGACTTCTCAAAGGCAAACAATACCCACATAGTAACCATAGGCCTATATTTGCCGGCCTCCTGAGGACCGGCTGTCACCCAACACTGTAACGGCCGGTTGGAGGGAGGAAAGAGGAGGAGGAGGGAGTGAGGTCCCTCAATTTCTACCTTCACAAACCCGGCCACGGTCGAGGGGGAAAAACTGCCGGGTCGTGTTATTAAATTTCAAGACAGCGACCTAAATCAGCTAGGCCTGGAGACACCACGGTAATCTTCTCCCTGAGCTCACCTGGTCTCTCTTAATGACAAGGCCCTGAGGGCACTAAGTCCTTACCTGCCTGGTAATTGCACCTTAGGGTTGTGTGATTGTACAGAGCGGACCCTAAATCAAAGCCCGTGTCAGTGATGGTCACTCCAGGGTCAGATTTGATTTCGACAATTGGTGTTATGTTTGGCCAGGTACATCGGGCGGGAGACTTGTGCAACCTTTATCTTATTCACTAATTTTCTTGGTGGTGGTTATGGTAGGGGGTAGTGTGTGTGTGTGTGTGTGTGTACTGACTGCATGTGTGTGTGTTTAGTTTCACTTATTTGTTTGTGTTTGTCCCTCGAACGTTAAAAAGACTTCAACGTTCAGACAAATTCACACAGATGGTCGTCTCCTCTTTGAGAACCTACACACAAGAGTCTTAAGTCATACGTCTTTCTCGATAACTGTGAGAACACCGGCAACAAGATGGCTAAAACAGGAGTGGCTGTGGACAGGACATTTATGGCCTAGTGTTCCCGACCTGTTGAGGAGCCTGGAGTCGCCTGAGCCACACGTGAGAGCCACATGACACAACCCGACAAGGGACGCGAAACGCAACTGTCATAAAAGGTTCTAATTGGACATGAACTTCAAAGGACTGGTAGGTTGTAAAGGCGTGTCTGTGAGTCGCTTTAAGATGATCTCGACGAAAGCAACAACAACATGAATGCAGGTGAACTCCTCAGCCGCTCCTAATAAGTAAGAGGTCAAGACGTATCGGAGGATTTTAACCAGAAAGACGCGAGGGAAAAAAACTGCTATAAAAACTTCTTCAGGTAGCTGGGTGTGGGCGCCGACCACCATAAAGTGTGGGTAGAGAGGTGATGCCCCGGGCCACTGTGGTAGCCAGGACAACTTGCCCGCCGTGTACCCAACGTTCCTCTTAACCTGATTTGAAATATTTTGAGTGAATATAATTTTAAACTCCTTAGTACACCGAATCTTAGTCTGAAATGTCTTTGTATCTTAAAATAAAATGACCATGAATGAAATGTAGCCACCGTGAGGGTAAATAACCGAGTCGTGTGATTATTTCTGTTTATAAGACGAATGCTGACCAGAGCTGCTGACTAAACTCTCGTCCTGTAGACCTCGTGGACTCGCTAGTTTACTCCTTGACGTGCAGATAGATACAGCAGACAGATAGACGCTGATACAAGTGTACAATCAGGGAAGCAGTGATGTAAATGCCTCAGGATTTCCGGGGCCAGCACATTCCCAGGCTGGGGGCGGAGGGCGGCTGGACACAGATTAGGGAGTCATGGGGAAGGGAGGAACTGGGACGGAAAAATACAGCATTACTGTTAAGCCAAGTCGATGCGTGACGATCCTGGGTACGTTACAGTGTTCCTCACTTATGTAATCTTTGTAAACTACAGCGAGATCTTCGAAATTTATTGTTGTTATCTATGTAATTTACGCTGTTAATCCATTGCGTCAACCAATCAGGACGAACTTTCAGCGACCAATCAGCTCACCGCGAAACTGAGGTTGGTGAAATAACCATATTTAAAGAAAAAAGTACAACCCTCATCCATCACAACAGTTATCAGTACGACTTAACTTTAAACAAAACCTCCAAGTACAAATCTTTTACTACATTCTTGGAACTCATAAAAGTTCCACCGTCACACCAATTCCTTCGGCCTCCCCACCACCACCACCTGACGGTCAGTACATGCCAGCACGGTAGATCACTGCCCTGATAATACAGGCTACGTCTTGGTGGCTCTGGCGGCTGGTTTTGAGGCGCTAACAGTGTGGTAATTGGCAAGTGTGTGTGTGTGCCAAGGATGGTGGTGGTGGGCCACATTCCTGACTCGTGTAATGTTGACATTCTCACAGCGACCACCACCACCAGCCTGACGTTGTCTCCTCATATCGACGTCTCTGGTATGTGTGCTGCTATAATTAGTAGTTCCTGTCGGTGAGGTTCATATACCAGTAAAAAAAAATACATAAAAATAACAGGCGTCTGACATCTGTACCACTTAGATTCATTAGATTTTGGTGTCACTTGTTTATTGAATTGTAACTTAAGCTTCGTGGACGACTCTTGATATATTCCCCTGTGTGGCTCTGTTTTCCCCCGTGTGGCTCTGTTCAGTCAGGATTCATTTACCAACACAAGGCTAAATATAGAAATAAAACCACTAAGTCTTGTTGGATTTTAGTTTCATTTTGTTTTTATAAAGTTTGATTGACAAAAGAATATCTTGATGGTCTTGGCATGTATATACGTTCTTGTGGTTACTGTTTCATGTTACGAAGGCTTCGGTGTCATCCTGAAAACAGATCTCAGAAAGTTACGCCACTGAGACCTTTTTTTTTTGGAGGGGGTGTATTGTCATCACCTGTTGTGTGGCAGATGAATGATGTCTGGCAGCTCACTATGTTGTCGTTGCTGTTTTTTTTAGTTACTTCCTCCCAGTTTCTACATCTGTCTTTATGTTTCTCTCTTGTTTCTCCCGTTATTTGAAGTTTCTGTGTTTACTTGATCTACCACGAGAGAGAGAGAGAGAGAGAGAGAGAGAGAGAGAGAGTGTGTGTGTGTGTAGGCAGACGTTATGCTCTATAAAAGCCTCGCATGACGTAACGCCCCGGGTGCCAGGCGGGGTCGGTGTCAGGTGTCATAAATGTGCCACTCTGGCTTGGATTCCATGAACCACTGCCACCATGACGAATGTTGTTTTTTATCCATGTTTTGCTGCCCAGAACATACGAGTGTGTGTGTGTGTGTGTGTGTGCCTTAACGCCTTACGGTGGTAGAAATGATAATTAACTTAAGTATGAAGAGTAATATTAACCTACAGTAGTATGAATAAACATTTAGAAATTACTTAACATGTGCAACAGCTAAAACAACTATCTGTGCATACTTTGTGGGAAACACTATAAGACCATGGACGATAAATTTGGGTATATGAGGGATGTCACTAGTCACACGTAAAATTTCGGAGCATATCGACCCCCCACCTGCACAAGATAGTTGTTTTAGCTACTGATACATAACAATAATTAACATGTAGTGATGGGATTATAAAGTTGGTGTGTAGTTGACTCTTAATAAACCTAAAAGCTATTTGTCCTACCTAATTAGATATACAACACAGGTACAGTAATACCCATGAGGTGACTGTATCAACAAGATGGTCCCTTAACCTAGATGTTAAATACAGACTTTCATTTGATCTAACGACCAATTTCTTCTTTCCAGACGTGGTTCTTCACCGACACAGAAGATGGCGAGTACTACCACAAGACAGGTGAGTGATGACATGAATTACCTGTTTGTTTACCTGAGTTTACCTGAGTCACCCTTTAAAAGAGATATTGGGGTCATCATGAGTAGAAAGTGGGAATCATCACATCACTGCCAAGTTATGTAGATATTAATATGTAACTGGTTTGAGAGAGAGAGAGAGAGAGAGAGAGAGAGACTTAAATAATCCTTAAGAAATTACTATGTATGATGCAAGGTGTCATGGTTTGAGTGTGTCGACGAGGAGAATGTAACACACACACACACACACACACACACACACACACACACACACACACACACCGAAAAAACGTACATGTGCGTGGTGTAGTGACTTGATCGTGTAGTGTACGTACGAGGCTAAGCAACATGAGAGGGGTAAGGTGCTGTCATTAGTGGCGCGTTTACTGCAGGAGTGTATGACAACAAACTGTGGCTCCATGTGGCGGGGTGTTCCCTTACTCCTGCTGCTGCTCTCTCTCTCTCTCTCTCTTTCTCTCTCTCTCTCTCTCTCTCAAACCTCCGTCATTCTCATTATCATCTTTATTATCGTCACCATCATCACCATCATCATCACTACTACTACTAAAACCATCATTATCACCTCTACCAATACCGTCATCATCACTATCATCATTACCAACGCCACGGCCATCACTATCATGCCACTACCAGCATGACTTTAGCACCACTGTCCACCACTATCACTCTTTCATTAATTCTCCAGTCATCAGCGCACAAGGTCACTCAACACTCATTATTAACTCTCGTCACTATCATCACCATCATCTGTTACTCTCTTACTACCACCTGCTACGTCTGTCACCATCACTACCAATCACCTCTCTCTTACGATCACCATTACTATCACCATCACTTGTTACACTGTCACCACCACCATCATATACAACACCATCGTCATCATATAGCAACTAGCTATTTCCTTTTGTGCCGCTGATCACAGGATGAGTATAGGGTGCACAGTAAACTCGCCGCTTTACGTGGCCAAATTAAAAATACCCAAATCACAGGTATAATTGTTTAAGGAAAGGTCGAATTCTAACATGACTTTCACACCACTGCCAGCTCACTGTCATCACCACCATCATTACACTGTCATCACCATCATCACATTGTCATCACCATCACCACACTGTCATCAGCAGCACCACACTCTCATCACCATCATTACACTGTCATCACCATCACCACACTATCATCACCATCACACACTATCATCACCATCACACACCAGACCTCACCATCACCACACTACCATCACACACTAGATCTCACCATTACCACACTATCATCACCATCACACACCAGACTTCACCATCACCACACTATCATCACCATCACACACCAGACTTCACCATCACCACACTATCATCACCATCACACACTATCATCACCATCACACACCAGATCTCACCATCACCACACTATCACCATCACACACTAGAACTCACCATCACCACACTATCATCACCATCACACACCAGTAGTCTCCGCCGTCACTGGTAAAGGTCAGACTCTCAAAGGCTCAGATGATAAATTAATCTCCTTAATTTAGTCTAATAAGAACACCTTCAGTCTCACTCAACGACTAACACTACAATGGCGTCGATAATACACTGAGACTCTACCTTAACCCACAGTTAGAGGGGAAACCAACGTTAAGAATCCCTGAGCCAGTTAATGAGGACCAAAATAACCCCAGGGATCACCTGAACTTTAGGCACCCCAGGGATCACCTGAACTTTAGGCACCCCAGGGATCACCTGAACTTTAGGCACCCCAGGGACCACCTGAACTTGCCAGTTAAGGGGAGAAAAAACTTAAGAATCCTTTAAGTCAGTTGATGAGGTTAAGATGGCGTCAACATAACACCGAGACTGTAGGGTGTAATGTAATGCCTCGTCCTGCCAACAGTTACGAGGAAAAATTAAGACGAAGAAAAATCCTGAGTCTGGGATTGAATCATTATGAGACAACATATCAGTGTGGGAACCCAGATGGTGGAGTGTTGTGTTACCGTGTGGTGGAGGCTAGTGTACGGGACCACCACCACCACCACTACTACGCCCTCACCACCACACAACACCTGATACACAACCTACAGTAACCACAACACTAACCACAAAGCCTCTACCGTCACCATTACCTTACACACTATCGGATACACTGTCATTACCACCATAGCTACTTCTACTCTCAGGATTTACACACACACACACACACACACACACACACACATCATCAACCTAACATCCTCATCACCATCAACACCCCACCATCACCCTAATTACTCATAATAGAGCCATCACCATCAACACCTCTCCATCAACACCAACACATCATTACTTTAACCTTCCCACTCCCTCTCACCCTCTCACTCCTTCTCTTGGCGTCAGCACCACCTGCAGAGCCTGGACATCATCAACAACAAAAATTAGTGTAACCGGGTTTCCTCTCTCTCCCTCCCTCAGGCGGTCACCTCGCTAACACCAACTGCTCCGCCTCCCACAACAGACGGGCGCTCTGCTGCAAGATGGCCAGCGAGTTTGATGCCTTCCTTCAGAGCAACAAGAGGTGAGGAGAATCTTGTTGTCCACGTGATTAAATGTTGTTTTCTTTGTCTTCCTTCTTCTGGCTTTTATCCTTTTCTCTTCCTCCAGTTCGTGTCTTTCTTCAGAACCTGTCTTTGTCTCTCCTCTAGTCCCTGTTCATGTCTTTGCCTTCCTCCAATCACTGTCTTTGTCTTCCGCCATTCCCTATCTTTCTGTGTCTTCCTCTAGTCCCTGTCTTTGTCTTCCTCCAGTCCCTGTCTTCATGTGTCATCCTCTACCTTAATCATTGTCTCATTTAAGATATAATTACCTATTCATTAACCTCAACTCCCTCATTACCTATTCACAGTACAGGTTAATGACTCCTTTATAATGTCGTTGTCCTTATCATTGTAATATTTTCCTCTAAGTCTCTCTCTACAACCATTGGACGACTACACTGACGGACACGAGTTAGTGAAGGGGATGTTATAGGTTTTATAAGAAAGGTGTACAGGGTGTTAGTCAGGGTGTAGTGTTGTCCTTGTGTGTCAGTCAGGGTGTATTGTCCTCCCTGTGTAGCTGTCAGGGTGTACTGTTCTCCCTGTGTATCAGTCAGGGTGTATTGTCCTCCCTGTGTAGCAGTCAGGGTGTATTGTCCTCCCTGTGTATCAGTCAGGGTGTATTGTCCTCCCTGTGTATCAGTCAGGGTGTATTGTCCTCCCTGTGTAGCTGTTAGGGTGTATTGTCCTCCCTGTGTAGCTGTCAGGGTGTATTGTCCTCCCTGTGTAATGGCTCGTGGGTACATGAGCCACAATAAGAGTAAATACAGTAATGGGGACGAAGGTGAAAGCCTCAGATACGACCATCATAATAGTGTAGTCAACCACCGGGAGGGGGGAGCGTGTAAGTGCCTTCACCCTCTCGCTGAAGGTAGGCGAGGCCGTCGTTCCTCTCCACCAATCACACGTTGATATAATTTCGGGTCATAATTGAGATTGGTGGAGGATGATGCAGGAGAATGGTGGAGACTTCACTAATACTGAGGTCAGGGAGACAGTAGCAGTGTGAAGGAGTGTTCCACGCGGCCCACAGAGAAAGGGTTGCACGTTCAAGTGGTCCTTCACACCTTGACGTCATCTCATTGGGTTCTCCATTCTTATCTTCAGACTTGAGACAATTTATTCTCAGGCTTGAAGTGAAGAATAATAGATATTCCACGACAGTTGTCTCACTATTAATCTTAGTTGGAAGTCAGCGAAGCGCGACGAAGCAGAAGTCAGGTTGATGGGGCCGGGACGAGTGAGTGTGGCCTCAGGGTGTACCTGGGGCAGCATCTGAACAATGGCGGCGCTGCTCCTCCACCACGCTCTTGTAGGTGTCGTCTGTGACCACACCTCCCTGGTCCTGCCTCCTCCCTCGTCACATAATACAGCCTATCATGTCCACACGCCTCAGTAACAGTAACAACAATAATCGCCAAACTGTGACTTAAACCCGTCACACTAACCTGAAATTCAAGAAGTACACAATGTGTAGCAGTGAGAAACACGCAACATAATTACCGACATCCTGGCCAGGTGTGCAGTTGTATTAGGCTGTGAGTGAGAGTAATGGCGGGCGGGAGACCTGCTAATGACACACCCACTGTTGCACAGGTACTCAACACCAACACCACATCAAGTTTTCCTCGTGTGCTCCGCTTGTATCAATCCAACACTCGTGGACGGGCGGCCAGTGTTGTCACCCTGGCTGTGCTGTGGGCGCCGCCAGGTGTGTTTCCCGGGCCCACTTGGCTGGTCTGGGTAAACACTTGACTGGAGGCAGCGGCTGTCACTTCCTTTGGCGCATCATGTTTCTCGCTGGACAGATGTTACGAGTTCTCGAGCTCTCAAATATTCTGTATAGTTACACCCGCGTGCGCATATATATATATATATTATGGTCTAAACTCTGAGGTTTGTCTTTTACCATAAGCCCTGAATTGCGCACAATATTTACACTGCAACACAATCATGTACGCTGACACACCTGTACACTAGGCAATAATAATTACCCTTTTTTTCCACCAGTGTCGTCACTGACCTCACTCTGACGCAGCTGGTGGTAGTGCCGCTATGCAGACAACTCTTATTCCCTTTTTCTTCCTTCCTCATTCACTTACTCACTCACCCTCCTCCATCTCTCCTGACGCAGGTGGTGGTGCCACTTCGACGACGACAACTACGTGAACGTGCCCCAGCTGGTGAGCACCCTGGCAGACTACGATCCCCTGCAGGACTGGTACTTGGGCAAACCCTCCATCCGCGCCCCCCTCGAGATCATCAACAGGGACAACGTCTCGGTGAGTACCTCCTCCGTCAGTGTAATATAGATGTAGGGTGAACAACAACATATTGACCGGCTGAGCTTTTCAAGTGTTACGGCTCTCTATAGAAGGTGCCTCACTGGGGGCACCTGAAGATTAGACACTCCAGCTTATTTCGCCTGATGATTAATCACCCTAACCTAACCAAGCCATACCTAACCTAACCCCTCCAGGTAACACTGAGGTAATAAGGTGAGGCTAATCTTCAGGTGATCCCATGATAAATACTGTACATTTATCTCTAGACAATTATTAAGTAACTAAGATTATCATCAAGACTAGTGACTGCTTCCTTCTCTCTGTGTGTTAGGTTGAGAGTCACTGTTTATGTAGAAGGGAAGAAGAGAGGAGGAAGATAAAGGTAGAGGAAGAGAGGCAGAGGTGACAGCAGGATGTTAACGGTTAAGGAGGAGGAGGAGTGAATGATGGGGGAAGATAACTGTACAAGGAGGAGGAGGAGGAGACAATGCATAAAAGAGAAGGAGGAATAAGCATGACAAAGAGATATAGCAATAGCTGTAGTAATGTTTTAAGCAGGAGAGAGAGAGAGAGAGAGAGAGAGAGAGAGAGAGAGAGAGAGAGAGAGAGAGAGAGAGTGTGTGCGCGCCAGACGTGACTAACCCTCACCTGTCTTTCACCTGCAGCAGAGGATCTCTTTCTGGTTCGCTACGGGGGGCGCCGGTTTCTGCATCTCTCGCTCCCTCGGCCTCAAGATGATGCCTATCGCTGGGTAAGTTTCTCACAGTCTTTTGTTTTATCTTTTTTTCAGTTACCAGTTAATGTTAGTATCTTACCAGTTAGTGTCTCTCAATTACCAGTTAGTGTTAGTGTTTTCTCAGTTACCAGTTAGTGCTATTATCTTTCCAGTTACCAGTTAAGGTTACATTCGTCTTTCCAGGTATCAATTTCTGCTATACAGTTACTATTTCGTGTTACAGTCTCTTCTCCTGTTAACCAGTGAACCACCATTCGTCTTACCAGTTAGATATTCAACTTCACATTCTTTCTCCACCCTCCAGTCAGTCTCACAGTCTCTCCATAACCTGCTCACCAGTTTCTCTTACAGTCTTTTCTCATTAAATGGACAGTCTTGCAGTCTATCATCATCAACCACTCACTTACGTTGTGTATACCTCTACCAGTTAGTTTTCCAGTCAATACCTACCTATATACCACGTGGACCACCAGCCAGTTACCAGTTACTCTGCTTAGCTTCCCGACCGAACAGTCACTCCTTTAGCCTTGTGTAATCCTCAGTTATTCTCTTCATATATCAATAATTTTTCATCTGGTCAAGGATTCATGAGACCTTTTACAATCCTTCTTTCTCAATGTGCCTCTTTCCATTCACCAATCTCTCTGCTCGTCATAGTTTCAAGGATCTCTCTCTCTCTCTCTCTCTCTCTCTGTCTTCCCTCTTTTATTGTTGTGTTCTATTCCTCCTCCCTCTGTTAGTCTTCAGAAAGTCAACATTGTGGATACTCTGTTTTTATATAGATTTAATAGACGGTAAACATGTGATGGGACGTTCGATAAAAGGTTTAAGTGTCTATAATATATCGATTTATAGAGCCATAAGCCAGGGATTAAGAGGCAGTTTGATCTTTAAGGGAGAAAAAGCCGCATTTCTCAACACCTTCTGTCTCCTGCAGGTAAGTCTCGCAAGATCTCACCCGGGAACTATAGTCTCAGTGGATTTTATACATTCTGGTGGATTTTCTTCCCCTGAGTTAAGATATGAGCGTAGCTACCAGACTTATTGTAGCTAGAACACAATCTTTGATTCATAGAGGATCCCTACGTTAAAAATTTCCCTTTTATATGTGAAAGAAACAATGATGAATTTTCAAAATATTCGTAAGATTAATTTTCCTCGCCTCACCTGGAGACGTGAGAACACACCTTGTTCACTAAGGATATGATACAAAGATGGTGGCTGCGATAGATACGCTGGATGATATATATAACTCGAGTCTCGTTGATAATCATGTAATAGACTGAGCACGTGTTACTGCCGCACCTCTTAACCCCCCCCAGCACGTGTTACTGCTGCACCTTTAAACCCCTCCCTCAGCACGTGTTACTGCCGCACTTAAACCCCCTCCCCAGCACGTGTTACTGCTGCACCTCTAAAACCCCCTCCCCAGCACGTGTTACTGCCGCACCTCTAAACCCCCTCCCCAGCACGTGTTACTGCCGCACCTTCTAAACCCTCCCCAGCACGTGTTACTGCCGCCGCACCTTCTTAACCTCCCAGTAACACCGACAAACTTTCATCTCCTGCAAAGTTTTATATCACAGCAAATGTAACAAACCTGTTTAATATTCAGTGTTACCAAGTATACCTCTCCACCCACCTCTTATTGCTCGGTTACTGAGGCTTGCAACATGCACCAGGGCATACAGCCTTGAGAAACGCCTATTGTGTTGTGTATGTTGCAAAGGAAAGACCACTCATCCCACGGTGTTGTTCTGGCAAAAAGAGGATTTCAACGCAGCGTAGTTAGCCATCCGCATCAAGAGTGAGGGGGTGGTGGGGGGGAGGGGTGAGCGTAGTTAGTAGTGACCCAGGAAGAGAAAAGGAGTGTCAGGATGTCAGGAAAGGGTAAGGGAGGGGTTAGTGTGGGAAGGAAGAGGGAGCTCTAGAGGGTAAGTGTGGAGGGGAGAAGTGTGTGTATGTGACAGTCAACAGGTGGGAAGGTGTCAGTGAGAGGGGTGTGTGGGTGGGGGGGAGTTATTGGGGGGGGAGAATGGGTGGGTGTCAGCAAGAGGAAGGGGGTGTGTAATGGTCAGCTGGAGGGAGGGGGGAGGAATACGTGTTAGGGGTCAGGGGGGGGAGGGGGTGGGGATACTTGCTCACCTTGGCACAGAGAGGCATGTTGTGGACAGGTAACACGCGCCACACACACACACACACACACACACACACACACACACACATACACACACTCATTTACATGTACGTCGTTCCAATACAAGGTTACATAATAGTGTAGTGAGAATGACAATGTTTATGCATTAAATTATCGAAACTCTGTAAGTTAGTGTCTTGTGAGGTGCTTCCGGGGTGTGTGAGTAATGAGCGTGTAAGTATTGTAGCGTGTAAGTATTGTAGTGTGTAAGTATTGTAAATATTGTAGTGTGTAACCTTAGTATTGTAGTGTGAGGGAAGACTGTAGTTTACAATAACCTACATCATTCTATAGATATTTACGTACAATACCATTTATCATCCTACAGTAGAGTAACTGTTTACACCCTAGAACTTATAAAATATTCCACCCAATACCTCTATCATCCTAGGGTTAGTTAGTATACATCACCCAAGACTCTGATCATCCTGGAATACAACAACTTTTTTTATCATCCGAGATTCCATAAATCATAATTACCTTAATCATCCGTATATCTGGAGTTAGTTATCTGGTAAAGGGATGATAATTACACCTTAATTATCCTTTCCATCATACGGTTATATCTTCACGGTCATCTGCTAGCTGGGTACAGTACTGGAGAGAGAGAGAGAGAGAGAGAGAGAGAGAGAGAGAGAGAGAGAGAGAGAGAGAGAGAGAGAGAGAGAGAGAGAGAGAGAGAGAGAGAGAGAGAGAGAGAGAGAGAGAGAGAGAGAGAGAGATATTCTTGGAAAAATTTAATGGATATAATTTTGTTGCTGAGTTCAGAAATTAACATACCATGGTGTTAAATGTGGGCACTGGGTTTTAGTAATGAACTTTGGGGCTAATTTAAGACATCTGGTATATATAAAACAGTGAATGATGGGAAGAGAAATTAATTGTAGTCAAGGGTTTTGTAATGAATTTAAAATAATATAAACTTAATTGTTTTGGAAGAGTTATTCACATAATTATAAGATTAATTTTAGATACTGGTTTAAGAATGACTTTAATATTAACTAAGAATAATATTAAGCATGGTGGTGAGGTATGCGGGAGGACCTGCTCTCCACCACCACCCAAAAGCATTAACAAAAATCTGGTGATGTTCCTCCAGTAAAGCCTCAAGATAATCCTTTGTGGTCGGCCCCGCGTGTCACAGCCAGGCAAAAAAAACATCCCAATATGATCCTTAAGATCAAACACAATAAATACAAAAATTCCCTGTCACGGTCCTCTAGTTCCAGCGGCTTAATAACACACAAACGTGAGCTTTAAATGCCAATGCAATAAATGTAAAAATTCCTTGTCACGGTCGTATATTTCCAGAGGGGAGATGTTTTGGGGGAAAATCATCTCTATAGTAACATGGTATAGCGTTAACTGTTCCCCGGCGGTGACTCGTCAAGGCCTCCGGGACTCTACCAGGGAAGAGTGAATCTTAGTAAAGGAACACGGAAGGCTGTGTGTCGGGTGTTGAGGAGGAGCAGGTGTTAGGTGGAGGACGTTGGCTGTTGGGGCCCCAGGAGAAACACTTCATGGTCGTTCTATACTAGAGTCTCACTGGAAGGGAGGAAACTCGGTTAAAATAATCAAGAGAACATTGTTGTCTCCGGGTGATGTAGACAACGTTCTTTTGCTTCTACGTGCGTGCGCATACACACCACACCGTTTTAACGCGCACACACGCACACGCACGCACACACACACACACACACACGGAAAACTCAAGTCTGGGTTATATTTGTCCACCACTCACCTGCCTCCCACCTGCTGTTCCATTCCTCCCCTCCCTCCCTTCCTTCCATCCTCTTCCCCTTCTATTTGCTTACCATCCCCCTTTCTATCTGCTCTCACCACTTGTCCCATTCCATCAGCCCTCCCGTCCTATTGACTCTCCCCTCCTTCCCTTCCCTTCCATCAGTTCTCCCTCCTTTCCTCCCTTTCTACCAGCCCTCCCCTTCCATCGTCCCTCTTTCCTTCCCACCAGTTCCTCTTCCATCACGTGTTGTTCCTCTTTACTCGTAGACAGAATTACGTGAATCATAGTTTCTAATTAAATTCTCTCTTATTATCGTTTATCACATTTTTCTTTGGTATATTTTTTCACCACACGTTTATCTGTGTGTGTGTGTGTGTGTGTGTGTGTGTGTGTGTGTGTGTGTGTGTGTGTGTGTGTGTGTGCGTGTGTGTGTGTGTCTCATCCCGCAGTTTGTGTAGCTCCATATAGACTTGAAAAAAATTAATGCTTTAGATGTACTGTATATTATTAGCACCATTGTTGACACTACCACACTATACCACACTATACCACACCATGTCACCAACCACACCATGTCAAATTACCCACAACCACACTAACCAACCACCGCCATACCATACTACACCCTCCACACCATACTGCCCACACGCCAGTCTCCTCCCTCTAATTTTACACACTCGTCCATTCCATCTACCTTCTTACCTACCTGTTCCCTCCCTTATGACCCCCCCCACCTCTTTCTTCCTCCTGCTCTCTTCCTTCACCCCTCCCATCTCTTCCTTCACCCCTCTCCTCCTTCACTCCTTCACCTCTCCCTCCCATTAAACAAACCAGAGACGTGAACCATGATTGATAATTCTCAACCTAATTAATTATCAAAACAAAAACGCCGATAAGAACATAAATGATGAGAGAGAGAGAGAGAGAGAGAGAGAGAGAGAGAGAGATTTACGGGTGAGGAATCAGACTAGAAGATAATGATTCGCGCGTGTGTGTGTGTGTGTGTGTGGCAGGTGAGTCATGGTTCTCACGCTGCTTCACGTAACTTACTCATTCGGGGAAACTCGGATGGTGACAGAGGAGGAAGAGAAGGAAGACAGAAAGAGAGAGAGAGAAAAAAATAGTGATGATGGGGGGAAGGATGGGGTGGTTGGAGGAAGGGATCAAGTAAGTAGAGGGGGAGGATGGGTGATTTCGGGCCAGGGGAAGGAGGAGGAGGAGGAGGAGGAGGGAGATCGCCTGGGGCTGACGGGAAGGAAATAGCATTGGTGGGGATTACGGTGTGTTGGTGGGAGGAGGGGTGTTGGTGGGAGGTGTGTGCTGGTGGGGAGAGGGGTGTGTTGGTGGGGGAGAGGTAAGTGTTGGTAGGGAGGGAGGTGGTGTGTTGGTGGGGGAGGGGTGTGTGCTGGTGGGGGAGAGGTGGGGTGTTGGTAGGAGGGGGGGTGGCATTGGTGGGGAGAGGGAGGAGGGGTGTTGGTGGGGGGGGAGGAGGGTGTGTTGGTGGGGAGGGGTGTTGGTGGGGGGAGGGGTGTGTTGGTGGGGGGGGGGAGGGGGTGTGTGCTGGTGGGGGGAGAGGTGGGTGTTGGTAGGGACGGGGTGTGTTGGTGGGGAGAGGGATTTGGGGGTGTGTTGGTGGGGAGAGACGGGGTGTGTTGGAGGGGAGAGGTGGGGGTGTTTAGAGGGAGGGAGGGGTACAGGGGAAGAGGAAGGGGGTGTGTCAGTGGGGTGGGAGGGGTGTGCTGGTGGGGAGAGGGAGGGGGTGTGTTGGTAGAGTGGGAGGGGTTGTGCTGGTGGGGGAGAAGGACGGGGTGTAAGCAGGGGAGAGTAAGAGGAAGGGGGGTGTCAGTGTGGGAGGGAGGTGTGTTGGTGGGGAGAGGGAGGTGTGTTGTGGGGGAGGTGTACATTAAGAATTCAACATTGAGTTAAATTAGTGTAGATTTATTATGTTAGGTTAATTAGGTGAAGAAAAGTTAGGTTAATTAGGTAAGGTTAAGTTAGGGAAGATTAACCTTTGTTAATGTTGTTAGCTTTACCTTAGGATTAACTTATCATTACGTCACTTTACAGTTAATCTTTTAATTGTGATTTAATGTGTCATCGTCTGTTATATTATCTATCTCTCTCTCTCCATGTGTTTCTCTCTCTTTCTCTCACCATATTTCTCCCTCTCTCAATCACTGCCCCCCTAGCCACACCTCTCTCTCTCTCTCTCTCTCTCTCTCCATCTACGGCTCACAATGCGCCTCCCTATTATAGCATCATATTGACCCTGGTTGTCTGTCTGTTGATAGAGGCGGCAAGTTCATCAGCGTCGGGGAGAAGATCCGGCTACCAGATGACGTCACCATGGGCTATATCATAGGTAAGTCCTGCTCTGTTTACCTCCCTCCCTCTCTCTTCCTCCCCTCCCTTCTCCCCCACTTCCCTTATGGTGGATCTACACCAATACAACGTTGGTAACATGTGTTAGCAACTGTGTTATCAATAATGTTGTAAAGACTACATGAAAATGTTATCAACAATAGTGTTGGAAACATTATTGCCAACATAAATATATCAAGTAAACTGACTGGTGAGAACTATGTGATTATTTTACCTTTCTTTCCAACAATGTTGGCATCTTTTATCCAGCAAGTTAACACCAATGTTACTAACATTGTTACGTTGGTGTGGATCCACCCTTAGCTTACACCACCACGCCCATGTTAACCTCTTAGGTCCACAACCCCTTATTCCTCCACTAGTAAATCTGACCTTATAATCAACTGTGGTTTAGTTATTTTTTGCCTCTCCCCCTCCCCTCCCAGTCTCCATTGGCAACTCAGGAGATTAAGCGAAATTTGATGATGTTCAGATGCAAATTTTCGCCTCAGGATGTGTAAATATTATATCCTTGTCTGGCCATAACTTACTCCCTCGACAGTAGATAACCCTCTCCCCCACCTCCCCTCCCCCCTCTCCCCCTCCCTCCCTCCCCTCCCTCCCCCCTCCACCACCAAGTAGCTGTGTCGTGTCGTAACTCGGTGCCTCAACCTGTGATTAAGTCCCGTGTTACTTACTCCTTTATTCTTGAACATAAAGGTGAAGCCTTGAACAAGATAAGAGTACAGATTAATTTACAACAGTAGAGGCAGCGGGTGTGTTAACAGGCCTTCTGGCCGTGTACTTCTGACTCACTGTACATGAAGTAGATGTTTTAATTTTAGTTCATTGGACTTTTAAGTGATTAAAATTGCTATTCATTAAAAGCATCGAAGCATCTGAAGTTTAGACCCCCAGATTATTTCAGTTTAAAATGAACGAACCAAACGCTAAACTAATCTGTAACCTAACCTGGCCTATTATTACCTAACCTAACCCGACCTATTATTACCTAACCTAACCATACACTCAAATTTGGTTGTTTGTAGATTAATCTCTTCAACCTACAGTATCTACACCTGTAAAAGAGGAGATTACGTAGAACTGTTAATTAAATACTGTTTTATAAAGAACTTGACCTTGTATCTCAGTCACTAAGACACACGAATAAACTGTAACTACTATTTCGTGTTTAGATGTTTGTTATAGTTAAGGCTTAATACAGTGGTCTATTGACTCTTTGGTTATATTGTGCATAACGTTTTATACTTGTAATGTATTAACCACGGCCTGTACCTCTAATGTTCCCTGTATTAACCACGGCCTGTACCTCTAATGTTCCCTGTATTAACCACGGCTTGTACCTCTAATGTTCCCTGTATTAACCACGGCCTGTACCTCTAATGTTCCCTGTATTAACCACGACCTGTACCTCTAATGTTCCCTGTATTAACCACGGCCTGTACCTCTAATGTTCCCTGTATTAACCACGGCCTGTACCTCTAATGTTCCCTGTATTAACCACGGCCTGTACCTCTAATGTTCCCTGTATTAACCACGGCCTGTACCTCTAATGTTCCCTGTATTAACCACGGCCTGTACCTCTAATGTTCCCTGTACTATACTATGTCTCTCCTCCTGCCCCCCCACAGAGCACATGTTGCGCAAGAAGCTGACGGTGGTGGATGAGTTCCACTCTCACCTGGAGCCCATGAGGTTCGTCAACACCGACTCCCTCGCTAGACAGGTGAGTACACACACACCTTCACCCCCTCCCCCTCTACTGAAGGAGAGGGGGAGGAAGGTGGATGGGAGTGTTGGAGGGGAAGATGGATGGGTTGGGGGGAATGTGGAGGGAAGGGTTGTGGAGGAAGGTGGGAGGGCTGGAGGGAAGGAAGGTAAGATGGGAGGGTTGAAGGTAAGATAGGAGGGAAGGGAGAAAGATGAGGTTTTTGGCGAGACACAGAGAGAGATCATTTGACCTGTCCTCTCGGTAAGCTCCTGTGTTTGACTACCTCACACACACACAGGAGACGCACCTCTGTTTGGAGAGACAGACAAACAGGTGGGGAGGGGGGGTTGTTTACCTGGACCACGGGGAAAGAGAGTAGAAAGGAGGGAGAGAGGAGAGTGGCGGTCTTGCTTGTGAATGGCTCTCTCTCTCTCTCTCTCTCTCTCTCTCTCTCTCTCTCTCTCTGTACAATATCCAATATAGAAATCTTGTGAGATGTGTGGAGAACTAACGCGTGTGTCTGTGTGTCACTCAGGTCAGCTTCAGCTACTCGCAGTACGGGAGTGAGATGAACGTGTTGCCGATTGATGGTCTTGACACCCGCCTCGACCCCACCAGGTGAGTTGACAGGTAGCCATGAGGTCACAGGTTATTAGAGACAGGTAATGTTTGGAGGGCCATGGTCGCCAACCCTTAGATATGATTACTTGTCTATGCTTTAATGACGATCAGAATCAACAGGATGACTCATACTGATGTAGATTATGATGAACCTTTTATAGACATTATTTATCCATATCAACGTATCAAAATTAAAAAGTAAATAGAAATTAGTGTAAAAATATGTAATAATGATAATAATAATGACGGCCAAATAATAATGATAATAATAATGACGGCCAAATAATAATGATAATAATACTACTAATAATAATTTTTTCCCCCTCGTTGCAGATTGCTATCATTGCACTGCTTGTTGTTCCCAAACTTCAGCTACTGCGCCACATAGCACCGGAGGGAGTTAGCACAAGAATATTTAGATATGTAGAAGAACCGAGTGCTATAATCTCAAATTCATTGCTGTGATACTGGGTAGCGGCCCCTTGCTAGAGGAAGTAAGCAAGACGGCCTGTTGAGTGTTCAAGACGTTGGGTATTTTTTCCAAGCCGTAGTAACTGTTTCACCTCACAGTTCAATACAGAGATCAGGCCTTTCAAAATCGACTGGTAGCTGGTACTTGTATCCGAGTAAATTCTCCACAAGTACCAGGTGACTAGATGCTTCACAAATACCGGGTGACTAAATTCTTCACAAATACCGGGTGACTAAATTCTTCACAAGTACCAGGTGAAGTACTAGGTTACAGCCACCACTTCCCCCTGCGAGGTTGAAGAATCGTGTTGGAAGCCTGAGTTATTATCCACATTTTGGTCGTCAGTCTGAGGGTGTGGATCCTCTAGCCACTAAATTGTGCCGTAGTCCTCCATGATCTGCCAAGTTATAGTCAAAACATTCCTTCATCACGTGACACCATGGAGGGGTGGTGATCGATTCACTGCTCCTCAATATATACAACAAAATCGCTTATAACTCCATTAGGTTGTCTACTCGATAGCATTGTATCTTTCATCTAATGATCTTTAATAAAGTTACTCGAGTTGTTATGGATAGGAAGGACCTACTACGAACCTTCCTCAACTGTGAACAAAGAGTCAAAGACACTTACTCTCTTTATTAGTTAACTGTTGTGTTGCTCATCTCTAGTTTTAGGGAGGATCTGTTAGTAGTGGTATATGATGTGTTGGTTCACCCTCCCACAACCAAAATTATCGGTCTCATGTGGAGGGGTGACGGTATGGACCCCAGAGTATTGTACCAGGAGAGCGTGGCAGGGCAGGGTGGGGAGGGGGGCAAGGGAGGCGTGAATGGTACGATGTATGAAAGGAAGAGTATGAGAGATTATGGCAAGAGTGAATGGTCGACCATATAAGAGAGGGAGGGAGAGAATGACAGCAGTGATGTATGATAGCATGAGAGAGAGATAGAGAAAATAAGCCAGGTGTGAGTGGAAGAAGACATGAGAGAGAGAGAGAGAGATAACTACAGGGGTGAGTGGACGAGTGCACGAGAGAGTGAAAGATAAAGGCAGAATGTATTACTCATAATAAATCTGCTCATGAACAGAATTCATATATCTATACTTATATTATATATCTATATTAATTTTTAGGAGTTTTGGCAACTGTATTAATGGTCCCTGTTATGAGGAACTGAAGGTGATGATATAAAATTGACAAAAAAAAATACGGTAAGCCTGTAAGAAAACTGACTTTACCATCGAACATCTTGCCATTATGGGAAGCCGAGGCTCTCCTGGGACAAAAAAAAAGACTCATTGGTTGTACTGATAGTGAGTGGTCTTTTTAATCCCAGGATGGTGGTCGGCGGCTTCCCCCTATGGGACTTGAAGTACTGCAGAGTTCGCTCAATATTCTTCATTAAAGAGTGTTTTATGGTCTCTGGGTAAGTGAACACGTGTAATTAATGATATCATCTGATATATTTCCATATTCATTTCATAACATCAGGTTTTTAAAGTTACAAATAGCAGTTTTATATCTCCATGACATATAACTTCTAAGCAAACGTCGTCAGCTGTTGAACATATAGTTACATGTAATTTTTATAGTAATGTAACAGGTCTTCCACTTCCCCTAAACACCCCCCCCCCCCAGAGAATCATACACCCTCTATATACAAAAAAACCTATAAAAAAAAAGTCGATTCTCCTTAAAAAAAAAGACAATATACTGTATTCCAATGTAACTCCTTTGACAATCTCTATATATATAAGCTAGTCAGATGTACATTTCCTTTTTTTTTCTACAAGACGACCACTATTATAATGTTTCCCTGCACTGTGATATGTAGTGTGCCTTAGACGATCCGGGTCCACGATTCTCAGAGGTTTGTATGTTGAAATTTTTATCCTAACTGGATGTAAAATATATTGGCTGAGTTATAACACCAAATTACATGAAAATTACTTCAAAATTACACTGAGACTCAAAAATAACATCTAATATGGCGTCCAGATCACATCAAGACTCTACCTTCAGTTAAAGGACAAAATATTCAACATATATAATCTTAATGAATCAGGATCCAGACTTATTTTTAATTTTTATACAAAAAAAAATATGTAAAATTCTGATCTAATTTTTTTTGAAGATTCGTTTGATGTTGTTTCGATAATCATAAAATATTAATCGAAGAAAACAAACAGATTTTTATTGTAAATTTCTCAGATTATTGATATAGTTATTGTGTATAATTTGTAAATAAATATAAAGAACTGTTGACTGTGTGTTTGTCTACCCATGTTTATTCAAAGGCAAGAGATAAAGTTGAGAATAGATGCCCCCTAAACCTTTCCTCAACTGAAGACAATAGTATGAAAAGCTGGGAATGAACGATGAGAGGTAGAGGTCGCTCACACCTCACTCTGGTGAAGGAACAGCCCACCACCAAGCATAAACAATCTAAAATACCTAATAAAATGGACATTAACTTCAATCTGAGAAAAAAAACTGTTGAAATGTTATAAATGGTCAGGACTTTTGTGAAGGTCAGAAGCGTGTACACTTTAAGCAGATACCATAAAAAGAGGTTAAAGGTCTTTGAAATAAGTTATACTGACAGGAAAACAACTGAAGAAATACAGTAATAAGATTGGGACAAATTCAACAAAAATCCTTGAAATTTATAGAAAAAACAGAGAGAAGTAATAAGGGATGAAAGGGTAATAACGGACGTATGAATGAGGGAAGGAAGAGACCGGGATGGATGAAGGGAGTCCCCAGAGAGATACAAAATATCAGAGGATTGGACAAAAAAAAAGTGTCACAAACCGTTTAGAGTGGAGGACTGTGGTCGCCAACCCTCCGATATAAGGACAGTTACTACAGTACTTTAACTCAAGAAAACAATAATTAAACACAATAAAACTAAGCAAATCAAATTAAAAAATATATATATAATAAAAAATAACAGAAAATAAAGAAACACGTAAAAAAATAAGAAAAAATTATAATTGAATTTCTGACACAGTTCCCAGATAATTATCCCTGCGACCACTGTACTATCCCTGGGACCACTGTACTATCCCTGGGACCACTGTACTATCCCTGGGACCACTGTACTATCCCTGTGACCACTGTACTATCCCTGGGACCGCTGTACTATCCCTGGGACCACTGTACTATCCCTGGGACCACTGTACTATCCCTGTGACCACTGTACTATCCCTGTGACCACTGTACTATCCCTCCACTGTAGGACCACTGTACCATCCCCTGTGACCACTGTCCACCACTGTACTTTCCTGGGACCACCTCCTGGGACCACTGTACTATCCCCTGTGACCACTGTACTATCCCCTGGGACCACTGTACTATCCCTGTGACCACTGTACTATCCCTGGGACCACTGTACTATCCCTGACCACTGTACTATCCCTGACCACTGTACTATCCCTGAACCACTGAACCACTGTACTATCCCTGGAACCACTGTACTATCCCTGGGACCACTGTACTATCCCTGGGACCACTGTACTATCCCTGGGACCACTGTACTACCCCTGGGACCACTGTACTATCCCTGGAACCACCGTACTATCCCTGGGACCACTGTACTATCCCTGGGACCACTGTACTATTCCTGGGACTACCACTAACCTACACCACCTAAGTCAATGACCTCGTAACAGGTCATTGTAGTACTAAGTTAACCAGCAGCTGTCGTGGGTTGCCGATATACCTTACCAGCTGACCTTTAATGACCTCATGACCTCACTGGAATATTTATAGAGCTACTGACCCATCTACCTGAGAGGCCACATTCACTTGTTGGCTTATACAGTTAAATGTCAACTTTCTGTACTGTGTGTGTGTGTGTGTGTGTGAGTTACAGTCAATCCATGTAATCAGGTATTTCATGAAATGACTGGATTTTTAGTCAAATTGAGAAATGAATGTTTTAATCGGTGAGTGGTCCTAACCTAACCTAACCAAACTAACGTAACATTACGCTAGGTTTGGCTAAGACGTTTACCGCTTCTGTGACAGGTTATGCTGTTCCCTGCCGCTGTGACAGACTGACACGTTTCCTCAGTAAAGGTGAAGGTGACCCGAGCGACCACAACCACCGAGAGACATTCACTGATACTGTATAATGAAGCCAAGACTCAGAGACAACTCGCCAATGACACAACAATTACGTCTGTAAAATTATAATAACTACCAACGAGAACTTCACCTTTTTTACGTCTGTTGGATTACACCGAGGCAGTGACTGTTCCCTTAGACGCACCCCGGAGCCCCAAGCGTCCAGGTAAAGAATTGAAAGTTAATTGAGGATTTCTAGCGACTTTTTTTATATAAATTCTATCCGTTATTACTGTTGGAATGACTGTGGTAATTTTAGCTGAGTAAGTTAGTCCATTGGGTGTGGCCAGCGCTATGATTGGGTATGGCCATTAATAAAGTGGTTGGGTGTGGCCAATACCGCAGTGGATGAGTGTGGCCAACGCTACAATGAGTGGGTGTGGCAAATACTATAATGAATAAGTGTGGCCAATGCTACAATGAGTAAGTGTGGCCAATACTACAATGAGTAAGTGTGGCCAATACTACAAAGAGTGGGTGTGACCAACGGTGCAGTGGATGGGTGGGTGGGTGTGGCCACAAGCCGAGCCCCAGACAAATGAAGGGGCGTTGCAGAAGGAGTTAAAAACATGTTGTGTGACCATTACCATAACTCACGCCACCATAACTTGTACTGGTGACCGGGGTTAATGAGCTTCCTGGTGGTGGCTATTGTACAGTGAACATGAACAATAACCGAACACGTACATAAGCGCTTTCAGTGTACAGAACAATGATAGGTAATTCTCCAGTAGGACTTTTCAACCGAGTCTCAGGCTTTACAGAAGATCCTTTCAATACCACTCCGTCCTGATCCACCCAGAATTTGATTTACTGATTAAAAAAACAAAAAAAACACCACCAGTACCTGTGATTGGTTGAGAATCTGACCAAACACACTCGTCGGGGAGACCAAAACTCAGTGGCAATTTGTTAAGTGGACGGGACTGTGTTATTCATGTGATGGTGAAGGTAAAAGGGGTTCCTCTGACAGTGACGGTGACAGAGTGACAGTGAGAGGGGGCAATATGTGACAGTGAAAGTGAGAGAGTGGCAATAACAATGACAGTGACGGAGAGTGACAGTAACAGTGAAGAAAACAGATTGACAGTGACATAAATTCAAGTATAGAATGAGATACGCAGTAGAGTTAAATTAATCCCCATGTAGTGAAAGCATTATAAGATAGATGGTCACTTACTGTAGACATGAAGAAACATTACTAAATTCACTCAGCAAGGACTAACTCAACACAGAGACTAACGTGGATATAACTACAGTAGAAACAAAATAATACATTGGTCAAACTTTAAATTAAAACCCATAAAACAAAAGACGAAAAAAAAACCAAAACCAAAAAAAAATTATTACACCGGCAGCTTAACAAGACTCCAGAACCTGTTAGTGTTTCTTGTTTCTCTCTACATCTTCTACGTCATTGAATACCACAACAAATTACTTCTTTTTTTTTGTTGGTCTGTTTCTCTGTCAAGTACCCAGAGCCAGACGGGAGACGGATAATCACTCGAGGGAGGTCAAATGAAACTGTTTATCTAGCCAGAGTTAATCTAGATACAGAGTGAATAACAACAATCACAACAACAACAATAGCAACACTGTACATGTATCTCAAGACAAATGTTACATAACTCAGAGTTTCTTCTGAATTACAACAAGTTACATAATGTCAGATTAAATTGCTGCCACATTTTCAGACCTCTATATAATTTGTATTCATTTTTAGGGAAGGGTAGGGTAGGGTAGGTTAGGTTAGGGTAGGGTAGGTTAGGGTAGGGTAGGGTAGGTTAAGTTAAGTTAGGTCAGATTACCAAATTTTCATACATATTTGTTATAATTATTAAGTATTTCCTTTATGGCGATGCATCAAACTACATAAACATACTGACAACATAACTCCAATATGGCAATAGCTATAATGTCCTAACCTTGTGTATAATATATCCAAGACAACCTCTATAGCTGCTATACTACTACAAGGTCAAAGGTTAAGGTCACGTTCACATATATGACTATGTATATCCGTAGCATAACATCAGAATGACAAGTGCTATACACTGTTTATGCTTCGGGTATACAATAGACATATGTATAAGTGTTAGTACAGATATAAACAAAAGATGAGCGTTTCTAGAGCACAGGAAACGCGTGTTGTCCCCCCCAGGTCGAGTACACTTCGTTCTACCTGACCCGGGAGCTCCCTCTTGTTCAGTTACGTTTAAGGTAAAATTGGTGGGTGAGGGAGGGAGGGAATTCCGGATACGCTGATGAGATCTTACGATTAAAACTGTTACGGGTGATGCTGAGTCCGGTTATGCTGGCCTTCGGATAACTTGATTTTTCTAATACTTGTTCACCACAGTCGAATGGATATGAGTCGTTAGGATAAAGTTACTGGACTTGAGAGGTTATCTGAGTTGTTGGGATACATTTATAATAAGAAGTCATGTATTGAAATAAACTCCACAAGGAACTGTAATATAATTCACTTATTAAATTACAAAGGCAAGAAACTCATGTATTTTAAGTGTATAAATTAGCTGTTATCAGGGAAGTGTCTGTCTCAGTCAATGTCTGTCGTCGTAGAGGAATGTGTTCACGTATCAGAAGTCTTACACACATAAGATCTGTAAGTCACATTTTAGACCTAAGAACCCCCTCGTACACACACACACACACGGCAGGACAATGGCTGCGGTAGGGACAACATTTGGTAAGTCCGTCAGCCACCTTCGCGTGCAGCTTAAGCATGCAAATTGTAGTCGTGGCCCGAGGCAGCCCGCAAGCAGGAGCGAGTTGTTATTTTTTTTTTTATAAGTTAAGACAGTAAAGGCATTAGTGGGAGACGAGATTAGCACGTCGGTAATTCTGGAGAGGGTTGGGGAGGAGCGAGGCAGGGGTTGGTTGATGAGTCTCTAGCCAGCTACTACTTAAGTATCGTCGAGACAACAGAGGACTGATGGTTCACAAGAGTGATGCGTCACCTGAGGGTTGGTCCACACGGTCCACTTATTGTCTGTCCTTGTGAGAGGGTTGAAAGTCGTCTGGATGGAAGGTATACTGAGGTAGAAGTCGTCCGTCCACACCGTCCACGTACAGACTTGTTGAAGGAGACAGATGCTGAGCCGTCCGTGC